TAGCGCCATCTACAACTTAAGCGTCATGAATGAGACACAAGAACTACGGACGGTGCATACGGGTAGGTGGGACGGACGTATGCGTCCCACCGCCCCTCAAAGGGTTAAAAGTGCTCATCAAGAGACATATGAAGAGTTTATCGCTTCAAAAAAATATAAGTGTAAAACCTGAAATTGATACAAATAAAAATGTGTGCAATTCCAAAAAATTGAAACATTTTACAATTGACGGCTTCTCAACTTTAAAAGTGATTCTTACCAAATCTCAATTACTCGATGCGTACAATGATTTGCTTACCGTAAATGGTCGCCCCTTTTCATTAATAAATGATTCAGGATTTCAAAAAATTATACAACCTATTATAGCTGGAATGAAAAGGCTAAAATTTTCAATAAATCGGAAAAATATTCAAGAAGAAGTTTTTCTAGAAGCAGAGTCTATTCGAAATAATGACATCAAGACAAAACTTATTTCACTAAAAATCTATGGTGTAACAAGATTAAATCGTTCTTTTCTTGGAATTAACATTTAGTATTGTCAAAATTCAGTTATTAATCTACGAAATTTAGATTTATTTGAGATGACAAATTCACACGCTGGAGTTTACTTAAAAAATGTCATTATTGACATCTGCAAAAAATTTGGAAATGAAAAATCTCAAATTTACACAGTAACAATTGATAATGGTACGAACATGGTTTATATTATCGAGGCATTGTAGGGTTTAGATTATATATTTGTTGTAACGTGGCGTTACGAATTCTCCCGCGTCTGTTGCGAACTGGGTGATTGGCCCCGGAAACGGCCAAAGGGCCTCGAGGGTGTCAATCGCCAAATTCGCAGGCAGACGCGACACTTGTCGTTTCACCGTTGCGCTGCTTGTTCCGCTCATGACGTGTGAGATATTACGGTTTTACATTGACTGGTGTGGTGATCAATTTATCGTGAGGATTAACATTATCTATCTGGGATTGATTACTTTTCTCCGTGATAGGATCACGATATGTAAGTGTTCTGATAAATATTATTGTTTTTACTTGGTCTGTTCTTCCTTTCATCCTCCTTCTCACCCTTTCTCCCCGTCTGAATCGGAACTCGCGGGCAACCGATTACATTGTCTATATAGACGATATTCTTATTCCTTCCTCTGATCCAGAAGAACATAAGAAACATTTACGCGAGGTGTTTGAAAGGTGAAAAAAATTGAATTTCTCGGTTTTAACGTAAACAAAGACGGAGGTAGATCTTTGAATGATAAGGTAAAGGCTCACGGTGCGTCTAGTCAAAATTAAATGAAAAATGATATTACCTCAAATTTTTTTGTTGATTCTGATATCCTAGCCCTATATAGACATATCTTATGAAGAGACGAAAATTGTAAGTTTAGCGCTTTTTTAACGACGTCAATTACATTTTTTGATAATTTTTACATTTTTCAACATATTTTATATCATTTTACTTCCTCATAGAGGAAGTATTGTAATACTAAAATTTTTCGAGTTTGATTTTTTGACATATCTTTATGTTATTCGACCTCAGAAGTTCAAAAATGACATTTTTAAAAAATGTCATTCCGTATGTGTGTGTGTGTGTAAACATTACATTTTCATAAATATCTCGAAATCATGAAGAGCTTTTGGGTTGAATTTTTTTTAAATTGTAGATATCACCTGCGGACATAAAGTGAGAGTACTTTGTGATAGATTAATCAAGTTTAACTAAATTTTTTTTGGATTTTTAATTTTCCAAAAAAACATTTTTTGCCCATAACTTTAAAAAAATGTTAGGATACCTATAAATGTTTTTCCATAATTTTGTAGAGTGTTTTTAGACGCATCTTTTGGGCCCTAATTGAACATTTTTCGTCCATATTGACCGGAGATATTAAGCTTTTAAAAATCAAAAATTTTGGAAAATAAGATTTTTTTGAAAATTTTGTTGAAAAATGTAGAAGTAACTTTAACCCTTTCAGTCCCAGTCGTCGATATATCGACCACCTTTTAAGCCACCGATTTTTTTAACATAACTTAAAGGAAAACTTTAAATAATTGCATATTGTTTATTTTTATGTTTCTACAAATAGGGTTAGTAGTTTTTTAACAAATTAATCTATATTATTTATGTTTTTTGTTATTAACAAACTTATACACGGCAACGCATTATTTCAGGTTAAACTTAACTGTAATAAAATAATATCAGTAACCTATACTTTAAATTATGGTTGTTTTCTAAATTCTCGGGGTTTGCTGAATATTAATCTAAAATCAGATATGCAAATTCAAAATGGTGGATCCAATATGGCGGACAAAAATTAAAAATTAAACAAATTTGCTTAAAAATGGTCTCTCGGGAGTTTTTGGGGTCGCTGATTACGTATCTAAAGTCAGTTTTTAAAAATTCAAAATGGTGGATCCAATATGTCGGACAAAAATTAAATAAATTTGCTTTAAAATTGTCTTTCGGGGGTTTTTGGGGTCGCTGACGACGAACCTGAAGTCAGTTTTTAAAATTTAAAATAGTGGATCCATAAATCCATATGGCGGACATAAAAAGTTACGAATTTAAAAAAACCCTTTTCTTTTTTAATACGGGCTTGGGACCGGCAATGGTAGAGTTTTATCTCTTTTTAAAAAATTTTTTTGTTTCTTTTAAACGTTTTAAATGTTTTTTAAAATTGTTTAATACTTTTATTTATTTTGTTTATTTTTGGAATATTTTTATATTTATCGTAACAAACGCAAAAGACAATAGTGACGAAACATAAAAGACGAACGACAAAAAAAAACAAAAAAAAATCAAGAGAGATAAAAGGGAAAATGGCAAACGACAAAAAAACATTACTTCTCTCCAATTTTTCATATTATTGTTGTAATAGTCGTAACATTAGATTCGCCATTTAAAAATTTTGTAAGAATGATTCCAGATTTGTATTTACACACCCCGCAAACTTCCAAGAAGCAGCATTCAGTCCTATATTGTCAATTTTCAATTTTTGACTATCATATTGTATCCATTATTTTAAAGTTAGAAAAACTGACTTCAGATTCGTAATAAGTGATCTAGAAAAAACCTAAGCGGTAATTTTCAAACAAAGATGGATTTTTTATTTCTGCGTCCAACATATTGAATCCTCCATTTTTAATTTTAATAAACTGACTTCAGATTCAGAGACTTCAAAAACCTTCAAATGTCAACTTTTAAGCAAATTTGTTTCATTTTTAAATTTTGTCCGACATATTGGATCCGCCATTTTGAATTTTGACAAACTGACTCCAGATTCGTAATCAGAGACCCCAAAAACCCTCGAGTGACAATTTTTAAGTAGATTTGTTTAATTTTTAATTTTTGTCCGCCATATTGGATCCGCCATTTTGAATGTTTAAAAACTTACTCCAGATTCGTAATCAGCGATCCCAAAAACCCCCGAGTGACAACTTTCAAGTAAATTGAGTTAATTTTTTACTTTATCGTCCGCCATATTGACTCCGCCAATTTGAATTTTCAAAATTTTGAAAATCTGATTCCAGATTCGTAATCAGCGACCCCGAAAACCATAGGTACTTTACCTATTGTAGATATTTTTCACTTGCCCTAATTATGGGACTGAAAGGATTAAAATTATCGTTACCAACTTGTAGAGCATTAAAAAACGCTTCGATTGACCTACTTTTGAACCTAATTCGATAATTAATTTCGAAATTATTGGTATTTTAAAAACCAAAAATTGTAGAAAAAGACATCTTCTCAACCTTTTTGTTTGAAAATTTTTGTTTAACTATTAAACTATTATAACTATCTTGTAGGGTATTTAAAAATACATTTATTGACCCAAAATTCAATCACTTTTACCATATTTATGAAAAGTTATTCATATATTTCTGTTATTATTACCTCTATGAGGAAGCAAAGTGTTCATGAAATGAGCACCAAAATTATAAAAAAATATACAACTTGGCAGCGGTTTTAAACTTTTAAGGGCTACTCTAGTTTACAATACTCTGCACTTATAACCACGCTTTTTCAAATGTAATTACCCAGATAACAATTGTGGGTGCATATTGCCTTCAAAGAAGACTCATAACGTGCATCTTGCCCTCACATGATGAGTGCATATATGCATACGGATGTGTCCTCCATGGAGGTGCATATGCCTCACATATTATGCGAGTTCATTAACGTGAGGGGAAATGAGGGCATGGGAAAAGCATATATTGAGAGCTAACCCCCACAGCACAAAAATCTTCCTGAAATTGTATTAAAAATTTTCTTGACATTTTTGGAGTATTTAAATGCAAAGTTTAGTGAAAATTGAGTAAACATTTAAATGTCCCGATTAAAAAAATGTTTAGGCACGTTTCACGTTAAACATTTATTTAAAGCAAACATTTGAATATTTACAAAATTTTGACAAAACTTCACATTTAAATATTCAAAAAATTGCAAGAAAATTTTTAATACAATTTCAGGAAATTTTTTATATTCCAAAACAACTGAAATTTTAAAAAGTGAGAGCAAAAAAAGGAATAATAATGAAGATGAAAACAATTTAAACATGTTTAAAATATTTAAATAACTTTTATTATAAAGATTAAAATTGTTAATTTTGTAAAATTATTGTCTTCGTCATAAGACGAAGCAATATCTTTGGATATAACTTTATCGAAAACTCTTCAATAATATATGTACATTAAAAAATAAAAACTTGAAATATTTTAAGAATATTTCGATTAAGTTTTTTGAAAAAAATTAGTTCTACAGAATTTTTAATTAAATATCTAAAAAATTCAGATTTTCAAAGATTTTAATTTGAAACCTTTGGAAAATTCAATTATTTCTAAAAAAATTGCAATTATTAGTGACTTTTCGAAAATTCAATTATTATCTAATACTTTAACTGAAATTAATTTTTAAATCAATTTTTATTAGAAAATTTTACGAGAATTCAATTATTTAAATACAAAGAAAGATAATTTATTGAAGAATTGAATGTTTCTTAAAATTTAATTCTTATAAAGAATTTCCTCCAACAAATTTTCATCACTGTCAAGTGGTGTTTGATTCTTCTTCAGTGTGTTTCTGTACCGCTGTTTGGTAATCCTGAGCACTTCCAACATTTCTATTTTGAATTCAGTTTTATTGGAGGGTCCCACGAAGCAATGACATTTTTTGCAGATTCTAAAAAAAAGATTAATTTAAAATATGATTGCTTAAAAATTAAATATACTATTTTTATTGAAATGTAACGATTAAAGAGGAGAAACCAAAAACTATTGCCAGACGATGAAAATCTATTTCAGATTCAAAATTTAAACAATTCACTTATTAAATAATTAAATAATTACTTTCAACAATTTTGATAAAATTCTGAATAAGATTTTCAATACAATTTTAATTAAATTCTTTAAAAAGAATTTAATTTTTAAAAAATTATACTATTTATGAAAATAAATAAATTTTTGTAGAATTTTAATTGAACATTTCGAAAGTAATTAAACAGAGTTGCCACAAACATTTAATTTTGTTTCTCCCTGATTTCCAGACAAAATTTTGACTCTTTTCATGACCCTAAAGATAATATTCTGATTCACTCTAAAAATTATTTGATACTCAAAAAATATTCTATTTCATTTATTTACGAATTTCTTTAATTGAAAAATTATTCGTAAACATCAATAACTTTATTTTTATATTGAAATATTTAATCATTATTATTTTTTCATAATTTTTAAAAAAAATTTTAATCATTATTTTTCCATGGCAATTAAGATTTTCAAAAATTCAAATTTAAACCTTTTTGAAATCCAAAAACTTATAAGAATATTAATATAAAACATTAAGATAAGTCGATAGTCGAAGACTCGTAGTGATTGCTTTCTTCAAGTTTTGTAATAATTAAAAATAATTGAGTGATAAAATGATTATTTTATACTATTTTTTTTTTATTTTTTTTTATTTTTTTTTATTTTTTTTTTTATTTTTTTTTTTATTTTTTTTTATTTTTTTTTTGTTTTACTATTTTTTTTTTACTATTATTTTATATGAATATTGTTACTTTGAAAATTTTCAAATTTATTTGTTTTCAATTAAAATTTTATGAAATTTCGATTATTTGGAAATTCTTCAATTATAAATAAACATTAAAAAAAATTAAAACTTGAAACAATTTTAAAATATTTCGATTAAGTAAGAATCCGACAAACAATCGGAACAAAAGTTAGTTCAATGTCACAATTTAGTATTTAAAAAAAAGTCAAATTAAATTGTAAATTCCTTTTGGTAGAAGCGTAAGGAATTTAATTTTCTACATTTTGAACATTTCAAAGTTATATTTGATTAAAAATTATAATTTTTTTGTCAATAATAAATGATACAAGTAATTGTGGTTGTCTTTTTCTTTTAAATTACGAAAATAGGACATTGGACTAACTTTTGATTTGACTGTCCGTCAGATTCTTTCTTAAGTTTTTTGAAAAAAATTAGTTCTACAGAATGTTTAATTAAATGTCTAAAAAATTCAGATTTTCAAAGATTTTAATTAAAAAACCTTTTCAAAATTCAATTATTTCTAAAAATTGCAATTATTAGTAAATTCTCCAAAATTCAATTATTATCTGAAACTTTAACTGAAATTAATTTTTAAATCAATTTTTATTAGAAAATTTTACGAGAATTCAATTATTTAAATACAAACAAAGATTATTTATTGAAGAATTGAATGTTTCTTAAAATTTAATTCTTACATATACATAATTATATTAACAAATTTTCAAATAATTGAATTCTTTCGACGAATTTTAATAAAATTTCTAAGAACAATTACATTTTTCGAGGAATTCCATTATAATTGTTTAAAAAATTATTGAAATTCTGCAATGAGTTTTATTACTTGTGAAAATAATTAAATTATTGCAAAGAATTTTATAAAAATGTTTTAAACAATAGATTTTTTCCGAAAAAATTTATGCAAATTCTATTTTTAATAATTGAATTTATGTAAATTTTTTACTTCCTAATAATTGAATGTTTGTGAAGAATTTTATAAAAACTTTTGTTTAATAATGCAATTCTTTTGGGAAATTTTACTAAAATAATAGACTATTGAAAACCATTGAAAAAAGAAATTTTCTTTAAAATAATTGAAATTCTGCAATGAGTTTTATTATTTATGTAAATAATTGAATTATTGCGAAGAATTTTATAAAAATGTTCCAAACAATAGATTTTTTAGGAAAAAATTTATACAAATTCTATTTTTAATAATTTAATTCCAGTGAAATTTTCATTATTTTAGAAAATAATTGAATATTCGCACAGAATTTTGTCAAAATTGTTTTTTAATAATTGAATTCTTTTGGGAATTTCTATTTAAATAATTAATATACAAATTATTGTACTAAGAAAATTTTTTGAAAATAATTGAAATTTTGCTATGAATTTTATTAAAACGTTTAAAAATAATCAAATTTTATTACTTTTGAAAATAATTGAATTACTGTGAAGAATTTAATGCCAAATTTTAAAAGAATTGATTTTTTCGAAAAAATTTATGCAAATTCTATTTTAAATAAATAAATTCATGTAAAGTTTTTTTTCGAAATAAGTGAATGTTTGTGTAGAATTTTATAAAAACTTTCGTTTAATAATTCAATTCTTTTGGGACATTTTATTTAAATAGTAGAATCTCAGTAATAAGGGGTGAATTAAAGTGGATTGATACTTTTATGCCCTTAAATTCCAAACCAATTCCGTTTTTGTCCGCAATTGTAATGAATGTCATTTCTATTGTTAAGTTGATAATTTCTATCCAATTCAATTCTCTGTAACCACGTGACCAGAGTCTGAATTCACTTTAATGCCGTTTAAGGGAATCATTTGTTGTGGAGTTAATGCCTTTTAATTAACATTGAATTCTTTAAAGGGCATTAAAGGGGTTTCAAATTTTGGTCACGTGGTTACAGAGAATTGAATTGGATAGAAATTATCAATTTAACAATAGAAAAGGAATTCATTAAGATTACGGACAAAAACGGAATTGGTTTAGAATTTAAGAGCATAAAAGTGCCAATCCACTTTAATTCACCCCTTATTACTAGGATATTGAAAACCTTTTAAAAAGGAAATTTTTTGAAAATAATTAAAATTTTGTCATGATTTTTATGGAAATTTTTGAAAATATTTAAGTTTTTGTAATGAATACTACTATTTATGAAAATAATTGAATTTGGCAATGAATTTTATTAAAATTCCTGAAAATAATTGAATTTTGTCGAAGAATTTTGCTATTTTATTTATAAAGATAATTGAAATATTGACCACAATTTTTATGATTTTCTTTAAACCTAATTAAATTTCTGCGAAGAATTTTATTAATTTTTAAAATAATTGAATTCTTGTGATGAATATTGTTATTTATGAAAATAATTGAATTTTGCAATGAATTTTATAAAAATTGTTTTTAAATAATTGAATTCTTCTAGGAAAATTTTCATTGAAACAGGAGATACTAAAAATAATTGAATTTTATAAATTTTTTGAAAAAAATGTCTTCTTTCAAGAAGATATCTCTTACCGTATAAAAGATTGGAAATCTTTGTATCTCCAAACTTTTCGGTGTTGGAGCTTCCTGGCCACGAAAATTGAGTCACCAAATTATCTGTCATTAATTGTTTTAAACTGTAGTTTAAAAACTCCCTCAATTTGGATCCGCCTATTTGTATAAGATGATTGTGCTGAAATAATAAACATGTTAATTTTTTATTCTTAAGAATTACGTTAATAAATAGTAAAAAATAATTTAAAAGAATTATAATGGGTCAAACCATTTTATTTCGCCTAATGTATTTTTGATCTTTATAAAAAATTTCAATATTTCGGGAAAATATTCTTATATGTTTTGGGATTACGAAATGCACAATGATTTGTAAAAAATAATTTCATTTCATATAAAAAAAGATATTATAAATTGAGAGTACATGAAAAAAGGTTACATTGACAGGCATTACAAAATATTTTAAAAAGGTGTAATCTCTTTAAGAAATATAAAAAAAGCGATTGATATTTATTTTTCAAGACTTAATTTGTGATTTGAACTTAATAAAAGTATCAAATAATTTATAATAAACTGTAAAATATGTTATTTAAGTTTCTGTATGAAATGTCAAAAATCGATCATATTTAACAATTTTTTTTGACAAAGTAATTTAATTTTCGTAAATCAGAATTATTTAAATAATAAGTATTTTAAATACACTTTAATATTATTTAAATACTTTTTTGATTATCAACTGAGAAATATATAGAAATTTACCTTAAATATTAACCATTCTTCATTTTATCGGGATTTTGAATGTTTGTAACTTCGTTGGAGAAAACCCGATTTATGCCAAATTTTTTGAGCATGTTGATTGAAGCAATATCTTCCTGCTACTAAAATTTCGCGATGGGTTTTGCACTAGTTTTCAAAAGAAATTGATTTAAAAAAGTGTTTATTTTGAAGGTTATTGACAAGTATTATAGCTGACTTGAAGTTGGTTTGTTTTAAACTGACTTTAAAAAAATCGTTTTATTTTGAATTTGACTTTTATTGCAAGTAGCAAACCAACTTCAAGTTAGTTATAATACTTGTCTGTAACCTTTAAAATACACAATTTTTTTAAATCAATTTCTTTTGAAAACTAGTGCAAAACCCATCGCGAAATTTTAGTAGCAGGAAGATATTGCTTTAATCAACATGCTCCAAAAATTTGGCATAAATCGGGTTTTCTCCAACGAAGTTACAAACATTCAAAATCCCGATAAAAGGAAGAATGGTTCATTTTTAAGGTAAATTTTTTTATATTTCTGAGTTGATAATCAAAAAAGTATTTAAATAATAATAAAGTGTATTTAAAATACTTATTATTTAAATAATTCTGATTTACGAAAATTAAATTACTTTGTCAAAAAAAATTGTTAAATATGATCGATTTTTGACATTTCATACAGAAACTTAAATAACATATTTTACAGTTTATTATAAATTATTTGATACTTTTATTAAGTTCAAATCACAAATTAAGTCTTTAAAAATAAATATCAATCGCTTTTTTTATATTTCTTAAAAAAAAAGAGATAATACTCAATCTTAAAGAGTATTAAAAGAGTATTAAATAATCTTAAAGAGATTACTCCTTTTTTAAATATTTTGTAATGCCTGTCAATGTAACCTTTTTTCATGTACTCTCAATTTATAATATATTTTTTTATATGAAATGAAATTATTTTTTACAAATCATTGTGCATTTCGTAATCCCAAAACATATAAGAATATTTTCCCGAAACATTGAAATTTTTTATAAAGATCAAAAATACATTAGGTGAAATAAAATGGTTTGACCCTAATAGCAAAATGTAATTTACGCATATAATATGTATTTTTAAGAAATAAGAAAAAAATTCAAAAGGTTACAAAATTTACCATGTGCAGAATTTTATCTTCATTATTTGCTGAAGAAAAATCATAGAATTCTTCAATAGTTTTGAAGGGAAACCCTTGTAGCGGCTGATAGAGATTGTTTTTCAATGAAGTATTTTGTTCAACGCTATTCCTCAATGCTTCCATGAGTTCCGCATTTTGAGCCAAAATTTTTTCATTTTGCTCCCAAAGCAACTTGCTTTGATTTTCCAAAGAACTGCAATCATAAACATACATTAAAAACTGTCCGCTTCCTTTTTGTTAGTTCTTTGTGATAAAAAGTCTTTGGACCATTACTAAATTTTGTAAATAGGTAAGATCTTACTCTAAACGATACAAAATGGTTTCAAATTTGTCATTTACATGATTTGCAGTGATGATTGCAATATCATTTGCAAGATCATTTGCGACAATAATGGGTGGGTTGATGATAGAATCGTGGGTCTCTCTTTGTGTTAAAGAGTCGTCAGTGTCTTTAGTAGAATTCATAATACTATAGAAATGAAAATAGATTTAGAAAATTAGAAACACTGTTAGGACTTATAATTTTTTATTTTGAGTAATAAAAATGAGACATTCCATTATATTTCGACTAAAGTCGTCGCCGACTAATTTTAAAAAATTGACAGAAACAATTAATTATAAGAAACATTAAATGAAAAATGATTTTAAAGTTCACCTGTCAAATAACCTCATTTTGCAAATTTCATCCACTAAATGTGAGAAAGAGAAGTCATCAAATTGAATAAAACCTTTGCAAATATAAAGTTCCTGTGATTAATATTTACTTTTTCTTACCACTTTTTTCCTGTTTCTTTATAAACGTGAATGAACAGGCAATTAAAATTGACACTTTGCTTATTTTCACGATTTTTGAATGTAAATCATTTTCTTGGAGAAAAATGAAAAATTATAAAAATTTAGACAATATCAAATTGATCACTAAATACAGACACTGGAAAAAATTCACCTTGGTCCCGAAGTCACTTTTCGAGAAATTGATTTTTAAACTTTACACTATCTTTATTAGCTTAATACATGTGATTTGTTTAAAACTGAAGTTGGTTCAAAATGATTAACCAAGAAAACTTAACTTCGTCCTTTAAAAGTCACATGTATTAACCTGATAAAAAAAGTGTAAAGTTTAAAAATCATTTTCTCGAAAAGTAGCTTCGGGACCAAGACGAATTTTTTCCAGTGTCTGTATTTAGTGATCAATTTGATATTGCCCAAATTTTTATAATTTTTCATTTTTCTCCAAGAAAATTATTTACATTCAAAAATCGTGAAAATAAGCAAAGTAACAATTTTATTTGCCTGTTCATTCACGTTTATAAAGAAACAGGAAAAACGTGCTAAGAAAAACAAAATATTAATCACAGGAACTTTATATTTGCAAAGGTTTTATTCAATTTAATGACTTCTCTTTCTCACATTTAGTGGATGAAATTTGCAAAATGAGGTTATTTGACAGGTGAACTTTAAAATCATTTTTCATTTAATATTTCTTATAATTAATTGTTTCTGTCAATTTATAATAATGAATTAATTCATACTTAATAAATTCTAATAATTGTTTTACATTTTCATAGTAAATTATGATTTCTTTAATATTTTTTAATAGAGGAAAAAGTGCCAATTTTTGAGATCTTATATACTTTAGATGCTTATTTTATACTAAATATTAAAAATATTAAAAAAAATTTTTTTTGTTCAGTGATCCTAATACCTTTAAAATTATTCCTGCCAAATATTACAATTTTTTAAAATTAGTCGTCAACTAATATAATATATAAATATAATGGAATGACTTAGATAAGAACTCTTAAAATACTATTAAATCATTTACTTAGTCAGTCTAAAAATTAGAAAAAATTTTGATATTAAATTTAGGGGTAAATAAAAAATAATCTTCATTACTTACGGCTGTCCACTACTTTCAAATGCATTCAAAAAGGAAGACGTCTCTGTGTTTATTTCTCGGTGGATCCTAAACAAAAAGAAAAGAAATATAATGTTAGCGTGAATCAAATATAATTACCAAGAGGCCAGAGTATTCTCTAATTAATAAGAATCTTAATAATCTAGAAAAAAATTTTGATAAAAATTTACTATATCGAAATATAAATTTTACTCACGGCTGATGATCTATTGCAGATTTCTTGCTCGGTTTTGAATTTGTCCTATAGAAATAGAAAATAAATATAATTAATACATCAAGGAAGTAATTTCTGTTCATTACAGAGCAGTCTCATATCGATATCGAGATGTATATATTAAAATTTTTAGAAACATTTTTAAAAATTTACGGACTTAATACGGATTTTACGAACCAAAAATGAAAAATTACTGACAAAAATATAACTTGCCCGAGACAAGTAAGAGAAAATTTTACTTAAAACTATAAATTCAATTTTTCATAACTATAAAACATGAAGATATCGATAACACCGAGTCTTTGACTCGGAGTTATCGATTTATTCCTGTTTAATAATAATTAAAGATGACCGAGTGATAAAATAATTATCGATTCAATTATAATTTTCAAGAATTTTTAACTAAAATCCTTCTTTAAATCGATTGTTTTTAATAATTTTCAAAAAAGTTCTTTGACGATTTTCAAATCCACTTGTTTACAATATTTAATTTTACGAAATTTTAATTATTAGAAAATTCTTCAATAAAAATATATTAGAAAATAAAAACTTGAAATAGTATTTAATACAAAAAATTCAATTAAACTTTTTCAAAGAAATTAATCAATTCTCCAAAATTCAATTATTATCTGAAACTTTAACTGAAACTAATTTTTGAATCAATTTTTATCAGAAAATTGTATTAGAATTCAATTATTTAAATACAAAAATAAATAATTTATTAATAATTGAATGTTTCTTAAAATTCAATTCCCATAAAGAATTTTATCAACCAATTTTCAAATAATTGAATTCTATCAACGAATTTTAATAAGAAATTTTAAGAATAATTTCATTTTTCGAGAAATTTGATTAAAATTGAATGAAAAGTAATTGAAATACTGCGGTGAGTTTTATTAATTGTGAAAATAATTGAATCCCTAAGAAGAATTTTATTACTTTTGAACAATATTTAATTTTTGCGAAGAATATTATTACTCTTGAAAATAATTGAATTTCTGCAATAATTTGTAATTTTTCCAAAATTAAATTTTGTTTTTCGTGTTTTTAACTAAACATCTTCTATAAATCCACTCAATTATTTAAATATAAAAAAGAAGCACCCGGAGAAGGAGTAGAAGTACTCTGGTTCACTTCTGACACCAGATTATCATTCTTTTCTCCATGACCTCTAAAAAAAAGAAAGGAAATAGAATGTTAACGTTAATTAATTATCGTTACCAAAACTCATAAATAAGCTCTAAAGCAAATTTGTTAAAAGTTTTATTTGAGAAAATTTAAATTAGCAATATAAACTTAAAACTTGACAGAAAACTTAATTATTTAAATTTGTTAAATATCAATTTATGTAAAATATCTTTTTGTAGAATTTTTATTTAGTAAAGTGCCAATTAAATAGAATCTTAATATTTCAGAAAAAAGTTTTCGATAAAAATTAGTTTATCAAAATATACATTTTTTCGTAAACAAATCGGTAATTATCAAGAAAATTGTGACTGGTGAATTCCAAAATTTGCACCGAAAAGTTTTCGTAAAATTGAATTTCTAGAAAATTTATGTTCAGAAGAATAGAAGATTAAAATTCTAATAAAATGAAACTTTTAACAACTTTGCTGTTATTTATTTATTTATTCATTTCAATATAGTTCTTTACCAAAAATTCTCAAATAAGGATTAAGGAATTTATATGAAAACTTGTGGGAAAATTCATATCATAATTTAAAAAGTTTTTAAATTGTTATTTTTACTTACGGCTGAGAGATTTTTGTATCTTTATTTATTACAGGTTTTCCTGATTTAATATTGCTTTTGGACAGAGAACGTTGATTTGGTGATGCACATTGTTGGCTACTGTTTTTTGGCTTTATCCTATAGAAGTGCAAAATAAATATAAATTATACATTAATCAAGAAATGTCTGTCCAACACAATAATTAAATTTTACGAATTAAAGAAACTAGATTTAGGTGATTCACAAAAAATTTGATTCAGTATTTCCCTAACTTTTTCTTTCATTTCCATCAAAAATATTTAGGGGAGAGTAGGCTACATTGAACCAGCGTCAACAGTGAACCACTTCAATTTTCTGAGAAATGACTGAGTGAAATTTTTTCTTATTTAATATATAAGTTAGTTTTACTGAAACAAACTATGTCCAAAAATTTCGGGCACGTAGGTTTATTATTTACAAAGAAAAACTAAAAAAAAACTGTTTTTCACGTACAAAACAAAAAATTTGGTGGAATTATAATGACGTTTTTTTATTGAAATAGGAAGTTTTAAAAATTAGTAAACTTGAGATTTATTTCGCTTAGGGTGTCAACTTCAATATTCCGATGTGATAAAGAACTTTAAATCTTACACAAATTTATTATAAACAATTTTTGTTGTGAATGTCATGTGAATACAGTGAGTGCGGCATCATTGAACCACCCGAAAAAGCAAAGAATTTTCAATTTTAAGAGTTGTAAAATTGTCTGCTCTACTAATTAGTAAGAAAAATACTGGAAGACATGCTTTCATCACAATTGTGAACGAGATAAACTCAAACTGTCACTTTACCTACCTAACCTGACATTAAAATACATTAATCTCCTATATTAACAAGTAATAACAATTAAATAACAATTTTCTATTTTTTTCAGTGGAAAATAAGATTTTTTACAATGTGTAAGTGGAAATATTATTTTTGAAGTAAATTGTAGTGTTTTATTAGAGGTGGTTCAATGTAGACACAGATCCTTCAAAATAAGAAAAGTGTAACTTGTTAGAAAAAAATTAAATTTAATTATTTAAGCATAATAATTTGTGTTTGTAACGTGTGTATTAACTAAAGGAGTACTTAAGCTTAATTTTGATACAAAAACCTGATCGAAATTAGTAAAATTTTATTAGTTCTTGGACTTTATAAAATACCCGGTTCAATGTAGCCTACCCTCCCCTACTCTGTTTTTTATCCTGGTATTAACTTCAAATCTGATTATTTCTGAAATTCAATTATTTTACAAATTTTTAGTTTGAATTCTTCAAAAATACAATTATATTAAAACATAATTTAGATTCTTTCTAGAAATTACAAAATCTAATTATTCCTAAAAATTCATATTATAACGCTTCTAATATTCAATTATTACGTAAAATTTTATCTGAAATTCATTTTTAAATTAATTTTTGTTAGAAATTTCTACTAGAATTCAATTATTTAAATACAAAAACAAATAATTAATTGAATAATTTTATTGTATCTCAAAATTGAATTGTTTTGTATTTGTTTCTGTCAAATTAATATTCTAAACATTAAATTTGACTCACGGTTGAGAATCTATTGTTGCTTTCGTTTTTACGGGATTCGTAGATGGACTCTTGAAAATAATTGAATTTCTGCAATAATTTGTAATTTTTCCAAAATTGAATTTTGTTTTTCGTGTTTTTAACTAAACATCTTCTATAAATCCACTCAATTATTTAAATATAAAAACAAATAATTAATTGAATAATTTGATTGTATCTCAAAATTGAATTGTTTTGTATTTGTTTCTGTCAAATTAATATTCTAAACATTAAATTTGACTCACGGTTGAGAATCTTTTGTTGCATTCGTTTTTACAGGATTCGTAGATGGAATTGTGACAACATTTTTATTTTCTCCAAACGAAGTACTCGAAGTAGGAGTGGAAGTACTCTGGTTCACTTCTGATAACAGATTATTATTATTCTTTTCTTCATGGCCCCTAAAAAAAGAAAGGAAATAGAATGTAAACGTTAATTAATTATCGTTACCAAAACTCATAAATAAGCTCTAAATCAAATTTGTTAAAAGTTTTACTTGAAAAAATTTAAATCAACAGTCTAAACTTTAATTTGACAGAAAATTTATTTGATCCAATATCAATTTATGTGAAATGCCTTTTTTAGAATTTTAATTTAGTAGAATGGAAATTAAATAGAATCTTAATATACCAGAAAAAGTTTTCGATAACAATTTACTTTATCAAATTTGCCAGAAATACTTAAGCATAAATTTTATAACTGACAAATCGTTAATTATCAAGAGAATTGTCAGGGTTGCCACGAAAATTTAATTTTGTTTTTCTCTGACTTTTCCCTGACCCTGAAAAATATACCGATTTACTCCAAAAATTATTAGATACTCAAAAGATGTGTTCTATTACATTTATATTTACGAATTTCTTTAAGTGTAAAATTATTACAAATATACCTTGAAAGAAAATTTTCCACGGTCGGAGGAATTGAACTCGGGTTGCACGCACCAGAAGCCGTCACGCTACCACTATGCCATCCTAGCCTCAATGGACAGTTTTCAAAAACTGATATTTAAGTTGCATATACATTTGAAGAAAAATATTTTCTTGGATCAAGAACACCGGCATTGTGTTAAGTAAAAAAAAGTTTCAAAGCAAATAAATAAAATGATTCGATTCAAGAAACATGAATTCTCCACACAATACTTTATTATTTCGCTTAAGAACATGATATTCTAGATTCAATACTTTTTGGTACTTCGGAAAAGTAAAATATTTGGTTGAAATAATTACATATTGAGTTCTGACAAATACTAAATTGTTAATTCAAGAATTCTGTTCAATGCTAATAATTACTTGACACAAGAAAATGAATTTCTTTCTTCAAATAAATATGGGATTAATTGAATGTAATTTTTAATCAACTTGAAACAAATATTTACTTATATTAACCTTCGTATTTTCTTGAATCAGGATTATATGAGCGTTGAATTAAGTAAAAACTTTTTTAAAGGAAACAAAAGAATGATTTAATTCAAGATCTTACACTTAATTGAATTGAATAAATAAAATATTTTATTCCAGAAAATATAACATTCTCGCAAGAAATTAATGATTTTGAAACATGAGAATATAGAAATGCTTCAAGTAAAAGAAATGCTTGTAATGATTTTCTCTTTTATTTTATTAAACAGGGAAAATCATAAATTAAATTTAGTTCCTTATTTTCAATAATTTCCAATTTACTTGATTAAAAATTTAATATTCAATAAATAAATAACAATAAAAAAGATTCCAAAAAAGATAAACCACACAATAAAAATAATTTGAGGTCAAACAAAAATCATATGCCAAATATGTAAATATAATTTCTCGAGGTTTATTTATATTGATAAATTATTAATTTTAGTGGTACCACTTAACAGTATTCAATATACACACATACACATTGATAAATTTCTTTAAAATACACAAGTACAATAAATAAAATAACTGCGAATAGATTAATACTTGATATAAAAAATGTCAAACATAGTTATAAATTAATACGCATAAATGCAATTCCATTAAAATAATGTCAAAATTATTTTGTCACATAAAGGATTATAATCGAATATAACAATTAGATCCAAGTCAAATCAGTACATTAATATAAGAAATGTTTAATACGAATCAAAAGATCATTAAAAATTTGTCAAAGAAAATGCTCCAGATCACTCACAATCAATTTGCTTAAACAGTACTTAGCTGAACGGAATTGGAGGAGTTGAGGCGTCGGTCCCTTCAATTTGGCGGGGGATCGTCGGTATGAAACTCTCGGACAATTGTCTGATTTCGAATTCTGTTTTATATTTTGGCCAATAATTTATCTCGAACTTAGCTTCAATTTTGCGATCAAATCCTCACGTCCAATTTCCATCCCCAAAGCAACTTCAAGATCCGCCCACAAAAATCGCCACACTAAATAATAATTTTACATTTTTCAGCAATTTTAACAAACAACTTCACAATTCGATAAAAAATAAACACAAAAAATGAATTTACGAAACACTATTATTTTATATTTATGAAAAACAATGCATGAATTTTACCTCTCAGTGTCCTCGGCCGGCACTTTGACGCGTGGCGCGGATCGGTCCGTCGATCTGGAGCTACGATGACAAATTAAAAAGTCATACGCAAATTTTCCAGAATCAACGGTCGTTTTCCGAAAACCAGCGTCTCTCCCACCGACTCGAGGATCACGTGAGATACCCCTGCATGTTTTCTTTCCAAAATACATTGCCCTAAGGATGGAAACAAGCCGCGAGACTTCTTATTTAAATTTCTCCCTTTGCCATAGAGAAAAGACCGTCTCATGCTTAGATTAATTAATATTTCTTTGAAACAAAATAAATTTTAATTGAGTTGAAACAATTATTAACTTGTATTAATCTTCCCATTTTCTTGGCTCAAGACTATGGGTGTTGGATAAAATAAATAGTTGCTTTAAAGGAAATAAAAAAATTATTTGACTCAAGATACCAAATGACTGAAGGTAAATTACTTGACGTGAAAACATGATATTCTTGATTCAATACTTTTTCGAGACTTGGCGCATGTAAAACAGTTCGTTTGAAACAGTAAGATATTTACTTATGTCAAACCCATATTTTCTTATTTCAATAACTTTGATCAATGCTCAAAATTACTTGACACAAGAAAATAAATTTCTTCCAATAAGAAAATATGGGTTTGTTTCAAATAAATCAGGTCAAGAAAATGCATTTACTTGATTCAATGAACTTTTTTTTTCAGTGTACGAATCCAATATTTCAATTTAAAGGAAAAATGATTGGTGAAATTAAATTCACACAAATCCACTTATCCTCTAATACTTCGGTTTCATATCCTTCTCTGCTGCTCCATTGGGGCATTCGGTACACTTTTTTTTTAATTAAATGCAAAGGGATTAACTCGAATCTTTTCGATAAATTGGAGCAATAATAGACACCTATCGTATCCGATGGTACTCCGATATTGTACACAGACTCGAATGTACGAAAGTTTTGAACAAGAAGAAAAAATTCTTCTTCAATTTCTAAAATATTTTTTATTAGACAAATTCTTGAGTCGATGAGAGCACAACAGTTGTCACGGAGATTCGTAAATAGAGTGAATTTGCCAATTTCCAATTTTCTATACTGACGAAAATGTCGATCTGCTGGTATATTTTCCGGCAAGGGCCCATCCGCATGAATAATTGAAGGTCGAATGATGATGGTATTATTGATGATGGTATTATTAACAGGCTCAATGGGAACATCATTCATTTCGCACAACCTTTTATATACTTGTTGAAGTGTAAGGTGCGGTTTCCTAATTAAATTTCGAAGCACTGGCAAATTATTTTCATAAGGGAAAGCACTGAAGGTTTCTGAAGGACCTAATTGCTCAACATCGTCTACTGCGTGCAGCAAACCATGCATATTATAAGATAAGAACTTCTCACCATACAATTGTATACTTAATGTGACAAAACTTCGTAACACTTCTCGGCAAAATTCGTACATTTCCCTCAAAGTTTCCTCAGAATTGAGGAGTCTCATCGAAGAATGAAGCATCATAAAATGGGAAAAATATTCTTCTTTGAAAACATGCTGCAGAACGGCTGGAGCAGTATATAGTAGCAGTTGCCTATATTCAGTGGCTTTGTAGCTTCCATAAAAGCTAATTTTTCGAGGTCTTCGATTAAATTCTGATGGGCAGTAGTCTGAGAGTTGTTCCATTCTAGAATCAATTATACTGATTTTCCTGACACTCAATTTTTGTTTTCCAAACTTTCCTTCTATTTTGCAGCAAAAATTTTTTTAGTGACACCCAAATATACCAAATGCATTGTTTCAAATGGAACACGGGTAATTAATCCCAAAACTTCTGATAAAGGACTCCTACCTTTATGATGTTCGTCGTCATTTGCAGTCTTATACTCATTATCTGTTCTTTCAATGTTCTCGATACTTGTATAAGTCATTGTTTCATCAACACGTTCACCTTCTACGTTACACTTTGAACAAGGAAATACAGAATTATGGCCAAAATGGTTTAAAGCAAACGCTCTTGCAGGAGCATCTGCAATGAAACATACAAAATTAACAGGAAGTAGTTGATTCCCTACACGAATGTCACCTTCTTCTCGGATTTCGCGAATCTCGGTCACGAACTTTTCATAAAAATCAAATGGATTCCTAGGTTTACTTTTTCCCTTATAAAGACCTGCAATTATAGGTTTCTTGTCCCCAATGTTTAGAATCCTATATTGATGTGGCCAAAATTGATCGAATCCCTTATTTACTTTCGCACCATCCGTGGAGAAGTCAATCTCGATAGTCTCAGGCATGTTCTCAATTGCAGGCAGACTTTCTAATTTTTTTTTCAACGTTGATTTGAGACCAAGATGTAAATATTCACCACCTGCTATCTGTTCAATTCGTCTGCTAGCAACGTCAGCAGGAGTGTGCAGTAATGTTCTGGAATCTTTTGGTAAGTAAATTAGAGCGAAAGGAGGATTTCTTAGTGTATTTAATATTATATTGATTTGTGAATGCTTTAGCCCTGCGGCAATAAATGCATTTTTTAATATTCTTTTTTTTACTTCTACTGGATCTTCAGGTTCTTCTTCTTCAAAATTTCCAAGTTCCTCCGGGTTTTCGTCGTCCATATCACCTTCATCCTCTCCAGAATCAAGTGAATCAACACTTCTGGCTTCATAAGAAGCCATTAAAATAGTTGGCTTCATAAGAATCCTCGTTTATATTAAATTCGTTGAAATCATCATGTGATAATCTTAAATCACCATATTCACAATTTTCAAGCTCAGGATGTACTTCATCATCACTCCTTTCCGATTCTGTATTTACTTGTCCAGCAATCCTTCCAGGAAATTCGGATAATCTCCTTCGCTTTTGTCTTGAACTAAGACTTAAAAAACTCTTGTGCTTCTCAGACATTTCCTACATCAGCTTACCTACAAAACCAATTCGTAAATGTAAATATCTCTTCATAATACGTAAAGAAGACAGTACACAGTACTGTCAGCAGATTTTTGAAAAAACAAAAAAATCACGACGGGGGTGATTATAGTTCACTGGAACGTCTGAAAAAATTGTAATAAGTGTGAAAGAAAAGAATAATTTTTTATCAAAAAATAACAATATGGAATGTAATAGTGTATGACGTCAATCTATTAATTAAGAGGTACAGTAGAACCCGGTTAATACGATTCTCTAGGGACCGCGCTAAGAATGAGTTTTATGCGGAAAACGTATTAGGCGGGAAATAAAATGATTTTTTAATTGCAGGGACCACCATAAATGAGAGTCTTAAAAGGGAAATCATATTAAACGGGATCGTATTAACCGGGTTCTACTGTAATAGGAATTATTTAATTCTTTCTTAATCAGTTTCAGCACGGAAGCCAAACAGTACACTTCATATTAATAAATTATATCTCTTTACTTTTATTTTAATTCATTGTATACAATTTATTGGATATCACGATATTATCTTTCTCACAATTTATTACCGATAGTTACATCTGTAGTTCACTCTGTAGTGATTTCGATGCTGATAAAAACCTTGATTTTTTTAGACGTTCTAGTGAGCCAAAATCACGCCCGCCGTGATTTTTCTGGTTTTTTTTAAATTGACAGGAATCAAAAAACACGTCAAAAAATGTCATAAAATTTTTTTTTCTTTTTTAGGTGTGCTGTCTTCTTATAACTATTTCTTTTAGAATTAAATCGTATTTCTCTGGCCTCCAATCGAATTCAAGGAAAAAGGCGCTTTAGTCGATTAATAATAGAAAAAAAGTCTTTCATTTAATTCAGTGTTGTCAAAAAAATTTTACTTAAGAAATCAAATTTTTCACTGATTTTTTTCTTTTCACTGATTTCTAAATTCAATTATTTTAAACTTGAATAATTTTGTAAAAAAAATATTTCATCACTTGTTTTTCCACGAGAAATAAAATTTTTAAAATTTCAATTAAAACCTTCTAAAATTTAATAATTTCTAAAAATTACAACTATACCTAATTCTTCCAAAATTTAATTACTTTCTACAATTTTTAGGGTTCCGTACACCATAGGTGTACTGACGGAACCCTTATGAAATCACTCGTGTGTCCGTCCCAGCTACGCAAAATGGGCTGTCCCCCCCCCCTTAACTTTTACAAATCTCAACCTAGTGAGCTGAAATTCGGTAGGGATCTTCAGTTTTAAGTGCAGATTACAGAAAAAATATAGCGAACCCAATTGACGGACATATTTGCGAACTAGGAGGGAAAGAAATTCAATTTTTTCGAAAAAATTGCAAAAAATGACCCTGTCCCCCCCCTTAACTTTTACAAATCTCAACATTATGAGCTAAAATTCGGTAGGGATCTTAAGTTTCAAGTGTAGATTACAGGAAAAATATAGCGAACTCGATTGACGGACATATTTGCGAACTAGGAGGGAAAGAAATTCAATTTTTTCGAAAAAATTGCAAAAAA